TGGAATAGGCCTGGGGCAACAGGTGAATTTTCAAATATTAAATACTAGGTTAGAGTCCTGMGGAATTAATGTTCATGCTGTCACCAGTAAATGAACTGAACAAGAATAGTTTATTAGTTCACAACCTCCTATTTAGCAGCACCCAATAAGCCACTTCAACTTGCTCCCACTTCCCTGAGATTTGCTACAATGGTGCACTTTATGCTTTGAAATGTAGCCCTTGCTGCTCTGCCACTACAACTGATTTTTAAAATGGACATATTTCTTTCTCTTCTTCTCTCCTTGCTCCTCCCTAATCTCCCGCTCTCCCTAATGTCAGGAAACAGGATTATCTTTCTTCTCCATCATAGGTAGAGTTATCTGTCCTTGAGCATTCACTCACCCACTGTATGAATGAAGTAATACAAATTTTGGAGATGRTACCAGAAGATCTCAGAAATGACTTTCTCCCAAATAAACAAGTGAATTGCAACTCCAACAGAGAACTCATGGAATGTAGCCTTTCATACACCTCTTTAAAAAGCTCCCTTAGGCTGGGGTTGTGGCTCAGTGGTAGAGCACTTGCCTAGCATGTGTGAGGCACTGGGTTTGATACCTGGCACCACATAAAAAAATAAAATAAAATAAAGGTATCATGTCCATCTACAACTAAAAATTTTAAAACATTTTAAAAGAATATTAACGGGGAGGGGGCGGCTGCAACTTAGTAATTAAGTGACCCAGGGTTCAATCCCTGGTACAAAAAAAAAAAGACATTCTTAATCCAAGTAAATGCAAATAATCAAATTATCTTTAGTCTCACAATTACTGAGTCTGCAAGTCTCCTCCACAAATACCATCTTTCTTCTGTGCGTTGCTGGCCAAAGCTAACACTGAAAGTTTAGTTTGCTAGAGTGACGAGAGGTGCCAGAAAATCAAATGGGTAATTCGCTAGAGCCTCTCTTCCTCCTTAGCTTGAAAACTAAGTGTTGCCAGGGGAAATTTTCAAACTTCACTGAGGCCCCAAACTCCTCTCCCTCTTGAAAAACACTGTTCTATCATAAGGCTTCATTCTGTCCCACATGAAAGATCTTCTTCATCATTCTAAATCCCATTCAGCTGAAGATCAATGGAGTAGAAACCATTGAAGTCAGAGAACTCTAAGGTTTTTCACAAATTGGTTAGGCAAGTCCCTTCACCTTTCCCATCTATTTTTCCTCTAATTTTTGAGATTCCCTTCCAGTTTTGAAATTTTAAAATGGTATGTCATATCCAAAACCTCTGAAAGGAAATGAGAAAAACTACTCCAACAATAGCCTCACAAAAATAAAATAAAATACATGGGGATCAATTCAACAAAAGAGGTGAAAGACCTCTACAATGAAAACTACACAACACAAAAGAAAGAAATTAAAGAACACCTTAGGGACTGGAGTTATGACTCAGCAGTACACTGCTGGCTTCACAAGTGCAAGGCCCTGGGTTGGATCCTCAGCACCACATAAAAATAAATAAATAAATAAAGTAAGTAAGTAAAGGTGTTGTGTCCAACTACAAATACAAAAAATAAATATAAAAAAAAATTTAAAGAAAACCTTAGAAGATGGAAAGATCTACCTTGTTCTTGGATAGGTAAAATTAATACTGTGAAAATGACCATACTACCAAGAGCATTATACAGATTTAATTCAATTACAATCAAAATCTCAATGACATTCCTCATAGAAATAGAAAAAGCAGGCATGAAATTTATCTGGAAAAATAAGAGACCCAAAATAGCTAAAGCAATCCTCAGCAAGAAGAGAGAAGCAGATGGCATCACTATACCAGACCTTAAACTATACTATAGAGCTAAAGTAACAAAAACAGCATGGTATTGGCATCAAAATAGACTTGTAGACCAATGGTACAGAATAGAGAACATAATCACAATTATCTTATACTAGACAAAAAAACAAAAACATACATTGGAGAAAAGATAGCCTCTTCAACAAATGGTGCTGAGAAAACTTGAAATCCATAGGCAACAAAATGAAATTAAACCCCTATCTCTCACCAGGGACAAAACCCAACTCAAAGTGGATCAATGACCTAGGAATTAAACCAGAGATGCAGCACCTAATAGAAGAAAAAATAGGCCCAAATCTCCATTATTTCAGATAAGGCTCAATCTTCCTTAATAAGACTCCTATAGCACAAAAATTAAAATCAAGAATCAATAGATGGGTAGACTCAAACTCAATACCTTCTTATCAGCAAAAGAAACAATCAGTGAAGTGAGTAGAGAGCCTACATTTTGGGAGCAAATTTTTACCACAGCACTAGATAGAGCACTAATCTCTAGGATATATAAAGAACTCAAAAATCTTAACACCAAAAAAACAAATAACCCAATCAATAAATGGTCCAAGAAACTGAACAGACACTTCTCAGAAGATGATACACAATCAATCAACAAATAT